TTACAATTCTAAAGCCGAGCCCCCAGCAATTCCCAGCACCAGCAGCACCTGGAAATTTGTGAGGACTGTAATTTCTCCAGCTGTGTCCCAGAACGACTTAATCAGCATCTCTGGGAGTGGGGCTCAGCAATCTACTCTGAGTCCTCCAGGTAATTCTCATGTCTAAAGCTTGAAAATCACTGATTCAATATATATTTACTTTTTCTCTGATTTGTTGTCTAGGCAGGGAAGAGAACCCAAAAACAATCACCACATAAACACCTGCAATTTATGGCGTGTTGCCGACAGCTACAACAGCAGTAATAAGTGATACATCCACACCACGTACATTTTTATTTTTATAAAAATCGGTGATAGTAATTTTTACTCCCAATTTTCAATGAAGAAACAATCTTAGGTTAAATTAACTTGCCCTATGTCGCTTAGAGTCTGCATTTCAACCTAGACCATGGATTCATCCACTAGGCTGTACTGCTACCCCAAAGCCAAGACTGGAAGAGCTCATTAAAGGGCTTTGCTCTTATTGCTAATTAATACCATTTTTCTCCTGCTGGTGCTGAGTGTGCATGCAAAACTATGAAAAAAACATTTCATCTGGGCAAGATGGGTCACATCTGTTATCCCAGTACTTTGAGAGACCAAGGTGGGAGGATTGCTTGAGCCCAGGAATTCAAGACCAGCCTAGGCAACATAGTGAGACCTCATCGCTACAAAAAATAAGACAGTTAGCCAAGCATGGTGGTGCACACCTGTAGTCCCAGCTACTTGGGAGGCTGAGGTAGAAGGATCACTTGAGCCCAAGAGATCAAGGCTGCAGTCAGTTGTGATTGTGTGTCACTGCACTCTACCCTGGGCAACAGAGTGAGACTCTGACTCAAAAAATAAAATTAAAAATTTCTCACCAATGGTACCTACTTATACCTGTCTTTTAAATATGCCATCCATTTAATTCAGATTAAAAAGAGAGGGCAAAAAATGTCATAGATTTATGATAAGTCAATGATTTGGTCACTTAACCTCAAAATGCTCACGTCTATAGTCCCAACACTTTGGGAGGCCAAAGCAAGAGGATTGCCTGAGCCCAAGAGTTCGAGACCAGCCTTAGCAACATGGTGAGACCTTGTCTCTACAATAAATAAATTTTAAAATCTAGCTGGGTGGGGTGGCACATGCTTTTTGTCCCAGCTACTTGAAAGGCTGAGGCAGAAGTATCGCCTAAGCCCAGCATGGGGAGGCTGCAGTAGCCATGATGCACTCTAGCCTGGGTGACAGAGTGAGACTCCAACTCCAAAAATAAAAAATAAAGACCATATAAGCTGTAAGAAAATGTTACCGTGGATGTAATGATTGTCTGAGAGCCTTAAATGATATTTGTTAAGGCTATAGAATAGTAATTCAGAGTTTCACTGACGTCTCCTATACAGGTGAACGACTCAAATTGCTAATTATCCACTGAATTGGTTTTCTCATTCATAAAACCAATGTAAGTGTTGAATGAGATGACATAGATAAATCATTTGGCACGTGAAGAATGCTCGATTTCATTATCATCCTTATCATCATTAAATCAGATAGATCATGATCAACTATTGTGCTAATTCAGGTCCTGCAGAATTGCAAGATGAGACTAGAAGTGCAGACATTTAGAGAATCAGCTCAGCTGGAAAGGTAGCCAAGGAAGACTGGCAAAGCCATCAGGTCCTGATGCAGGTCTGACCCATGTGGAGGAAAGAGGATAGAAAGAAAGGCTGGGTGTATCATATCTGAAATTTGCAGCCAAGCTAGTGGGTAGTCCCCAAGTCACTGTCACATCAGAAGAGTCCAATGGCTCCCAGGAACCGACCCTGCCATATTCGATCTTCGTTGACTGGAGCAGCCAATAGGAAGCGTGATCTTGCACAAATACAGCGATGGATCTTAGAGCCAATAAATAGTCAATTGCACTCCCTGCAGAGGCCCGAGAGGCTCCTTTCATGGCTGCCACATCTACACTGATTTTGTAGTATACACCTGCTAAATGTCCCACTAACACAAGCAAAGGTACAAGTAAAACGTATGGGAAGCTTTTCATCTTTCTTCAGTAACTCTCATTTAAGAGTCACCAGCTGCTGGGCATAGTGGCTCACACCTATAATCCCAGTACTTTGGGAGGCCGAGGTGAGAGGGTTGCCTGAACCCGCGGGTTCGAGACCAGCCTGGACAACTTGGTGAGACCTCATCTCTACAATAAATCAAAAAAAATTAAAATTAAATAAAATTAGCCAGACATGGTGGTGCATGCCTGTAGTTCCAGCTACTTGGAAGGGTGAGGTTGGAAGGATCTCCTGAGCCCAGCAGTTTGAGACTGTGGTGGCCGGGAGCATGCCACTGCCCTCCAGCCTGGGCAACAGAGTGAGACTCCAACTCAAAAAAAAAAAAAAAGTCACCAGCAGCCAGGCACAGTGACTCACGCCTGTCATCCCAGCATTTTGGGAGACAGAGGTGAGAGGATTGTCTCAGTCTAGGGGTTCAAGACCAGCCTGAGCAACATGGCGAGACCTTGTCTCTACAATAAATCAAGAAAAATTAGCCGGGCATGGTGGCACATGCCTGTAGTTCCAGCTTCCTGGAAGGCTGAGGGAGAAGGATCGTCTGAGCCCAGCAGGTCAAGGCTGCAGTGACCGTGAGTGTGCCACTGCACTCCAGCCTGGGCAGCAGAGTGAGAATTCCACTAAAAAAAAAAAAATCGGGCAACGGCTTCGGTTCCCCCTCCACTGTGGGAGTTAAAAACAAAATCGTTCTGGATTTATGTTGAATGAGTTAATATCTATAAAGTACTTAGATGGGTGGCCTAGCACATAGTAAGTGCTAAATTGTTATTAATATGGTGCTATCAGAGTTTCACTGAACTTCTGAAGACCTGCCTGGCTATTAATTGACACCTTTTATTAACTGGCACTTAAAAAGGTGATAAAGCTGGGATGGGGTCATTCAGATAAGAATCCGTGATGTGGTAAAAAATAAATAAATAAAACTTTTGTTTATTGGGTGCCTAGGGAAATTAAGGCAAAGACAGAGCAGTCACTGAGGGACCTCTGCGAGCAGTTTCCCAGTAAGTCTATACATTTGGGGACCTATTTCTTTGTCCTTTATCAGAGTCTGCCAAATACTTGTAATTCTTTATGTGCATGCCTTCTCTCCCCACCTGACTTGCCCTCATGTTGTCACTCTATGTCAAGAGCCTCCACGTGCTGGACGTGACTCCAGGCGCTGAAAACACATCAATGGGCAGGATAAAACACTCTTGCCCGTGTGGAGGTGTCACTCTAGCAGGGGGAGACAGACCGTAAACATGATGAGTGGATGACATGGTCTGCCTTAGAGTGGTAAGTACATGGGGGAAGTAACTAGGATCGAGAAATGGGGTGTGAAATTTTGGAAATGGATTCAGGGTAGGCCTCGGAGAAGATGACAGCTGAGCAGAGCTGTAGGGAGTATGCAGAGATGGTGACTTTCTCGAGGACACTTCGTCACCACAGAACTACCCGGCGCATGTGGCTTAATAGTCAACAAATGTTTACTGATTAAACGAAATTCAGACTTGGTTAAAACCATACTCTAGCTTAAAGATCAGTCAAGAATGGATATATCTTTAATACATCAAAACTATGGTTTCTGCTGAAGCAGAAGAATGTCCTATCCATCTCCTAAAGAAACATTGAATAATTGGTGGAAGTTACTCAAAATGACTATTACCATTAAAAAGGGGTGGGGGACAGGACGGTTGAGGTGGCTCACGCCTATAATCCCAGCACTATGGGAAGAAGTGCTAGAGGTTTATTTGAACGCAGGAGTTTGAGACCAGCCTAGGCAACATAGTGAGACTTCATCTCTACAAAAAATAAAAATAATCATCCATGTGTGGTGGCATGCACCTGTAGTGCCAGCTATTTGGGAGGCTGAGGACAGAGGATCGCCTGAGCCCAGGAGGTCGAGGGTGCAGTACTCCAGCCTAGGCAACAGAGCAAGACCTCAATTCAAAAATAAATAAATAAACAACAACTCCTTTTCAGGAAACTGACTTTACTTATTATCTGCTATTTTAAATCCAAAGTGAGCATCTACTTTCCATAGTACCCTTAGATGCATATGTCAGTTGACCTTGGCTTTCTGCATAAAGAAGTCTTATGTGCCATGATAAACACTGCATTTATTTTAATTGTAGGTGTAAAACTACAAAGCCACCTCAAATATGTATATGTATGAATTCGGTGATTAATGCATCATTACTTCACACTTGCAAACTATTCATGAATAAGTTATATTTAACTTTCATACAAGAAAGTTAACATGAGCAAACATTTTACAATAAATTATTTCACACAGGAATATGCTTATGAATCTATTTAATTGTTCAAACTGTGCTAGAGAATACATATTTTAAAATACATCTTTCATTTAGATTCAGTTACAATGTAGATGGTTTCAAGTGGGCATTTCTTACACTAACCTGATCATCGAAAAAAGAAAAATTGTTATCATCTGTTTCCAAGACTGTTATGTCAAAATATACTTTTCAACTATACATTTAATTATTCAGCAAATTGGTTTCATAAATATTAGCGATCTCATTCTAAATTATTTTTATAAATAGTTCCAGAACACATTCTCCAATAATTCCAATTATTATTTTTCTAATGAAGACATAATTGACCTATGTTTACACATATATATTCTCTACACAGTAAAACTTTTTGTTAAAGAAAGCAGCATGGAAATGCAAAAGCTCCAGCTCTCCAAAGCAAAGCCAAAAAGCGGGGACAGCATTTTACTATACCTGCCAATAGTATTACCTTTTTACTTTCTCCCCTTGTCTATTTTTTAAATTTTAGAAACTGTATTCTTAAGGGAATATACCTCTTCAGGCAAACATGATAACGGACATATTTTAATAGAGGGTGAACATGTAGTTGAGAAGTGACTACCAAAGATAACAACGTTACTATTTCCACTATTTTAGGGGGAAAGTTAGTTTTACAGCATCCAAATAAAGCCCAGCTTCAAATTCATTGGTAGTAAATATATTAACTTTCTGGATCAAAATGGAGAGCCTCTCAAAATAAACAGTTGTGTGGTCAACAGTGACCCATTAGTCGGGATAGCAGGAATCCGGAGTCAAGGCTGTCTCCACCATTGTGGTCACGCCGCCGTATGTCAGTGGGGCCTTTGCAGTGTAACACTTGTTTCTGTCATACGTGTAGCAGATCTCTGAAGCACTGTCTTCCTCACAGATGTTGCTCTGGGTAGCAGTAACTATCTGATTATTCAGCTCCACTTCCGTAGGGTCACATTTTTTACAGCTGAAAAACAAATCCATGCATTAATCATCACCAGATGCTGTCTCTAAATCAGAATGGCTACACATTTTACTCCAAAATCCATTAGTTCTTGCAGCTCTGACTGACACAAAGGATGATCATCCTTTCAGACCGTAGCACCTCTACAATACAGAACGGTTTATGAGATTTTTCAACTTTTAACATATAAAAATGAGTTGAAGGTAGGCAATATAATTAAGGATATGAAAATATTGTTTTGTCTACAGCATACAGCAACTTCTACTGAAGGAAGAATTAAAAAAAAAAAAAAACTAATGTTGGATTCTGTCATTTCCAAAGAAACACCTGCTTGACTTATGAGATGAAATCCACTTATTGAAGTATTAAGATACTTCATTGATATTTCTTCAATGAATGAATTGATATTTCTTCAGTTATTGCCATTCATTGATATTTCTTCAATGAATGGCAATAATTTATTCTTTAGAATCAATCTATAGCTAATTTTAATCTGTGGTAGTTGAATAAATTTGTGATACCTAATCATTAGCACAGGAATTAATGTATTCAAAAGTTCTGATTATATTTGTAAATGCTTATACCCCAACATATTTTCATATAAAAAATTCTTACTAACAGGGTTAATTAAAGGTTATTAACTTCCACATCAATATTAATATAAAGGAAAATCTCTTACACGTCAGACAAATGATACACAAATTCAGTTCTCCGTGGTGAAGTGGGATCAGAGATATTCTCCCTGTTGTTCAGAGGAACACTAAAAAAAGAAAGAAAACAAAATATGAAATGCAGATATTGGTATTTTTGGTAAGAGGTGTATTGCTAGAACAGTTCTTACTACGTCATTAAAACAGTTCTTATCATTACATGTAGCACTCTGTAGTAACACTATCACTCAGATTTTTACAGTCATTTGCTGTATTTTAAATATTTCCCATTCAAATTAAACCTCACAGCAACTCCTTTGTCAACTCCCTTTGCCTACTTGGCAAATTCCTGCTTTTCCTTTAAAACCCAACTCACATTTTACCTCTGTGATGCTTGCATTGATCCTGTCTCAATACACTTCTTCCACCGTAGTCTCATTCACACTCGTCTACAATCACAAATACTATATCATAGTGGCTAGTCTGCAGGGCGGTTACTTCTCTAGACTGTGTAAGCTTCTTGAGGCAAAAACACTGATGTATTCCCAGTGCCTAGCTAGGTGTGTGGCATGTGGAATATGGCCAATATTTGTGAAATGGGCAGACAGATATTATTACATGTTAGAGATAAGGAGATTATAAATCAGAGAGGTTAGTAATCCACTCAAGTTTTGCTACACAACAATTAAGTAGCAAAGCTGGAAATTTTTATGGTGATGTCCCATGGAAAATTAGATTATTATTAACTAGTCCAGGTGATTTCATTAACTTTAAAATTTGGTCATCTGTCATCAATCCTTCTCACTTGCACCCCTCCCTACCAAATGGAACAACGGCAACAACAATAAACTTGTGCTTTCTAATTCAGTATTTAGCAATACCATCCATATGGGTATCCAAACGAAAAACCTGGGTAACACCACCGAATCTCCCCTCCCCTCATAGTCTCTATCTCATCAACCTCACAGTCCGGTTGATTTCTAATTCTTATTTCTCTTCTCATTATTACTGCCTTAATTCAGGACATCTCTGTTACTCTTCTAAATTGTAGCAATGCCTTCCTTATCCTTTAATCCTCACAACCCTATTAGCATTAGCCATATTATTGCCCAAATGGCCTTTCTAACATGTAAACCTACTTCCTTCTCTGCTTAAAGCCTACAGAGTCTCTCCACAGATGACAGAGTATGCTTAAGACAGCAGAGAAGGCACTTCTAACTCCAGACTCACCTCTCATTATACCACCCTCTTCCCAATAAATGCCAGCTGTAAACAGCTGCCTGCAATTCCACAAACTTACTATGTTAAGGCTCATCTCTGAGCCTTAACAAAAACAATAACAGTTCTAACACATTCTATATGCTTAGTGTGTCCCATACCATGCTAAGCATGCTACATGGTGACCTCATGTTATCTTCACAGCAACACTGTTTCCCTTTCCCATAATGACATGCCCACCTATTCCCTGTCTCAGTCTCCACACACATTTCCCCTGTTAACTCCCATCTAGCCCACAGCCATCATCCATCCACCACTTATTCCAAACACCCTTTCTTGCCTTCCACTCTCCACTTCTCCTCCCTGCCAGGGTTGGACAGGTACCCTTCCTTGGTGCCTCCCTAACACTCTATGCTCATTCCTATCATAGCATTTATGTTCCAGTATTGTAATTGCCTTTTTTTTTTCCAATTCACCAAATATTTATTGGTACCAGACAACAGGGGGCCAACAGATGGATAACAGTTTCTGAATCCAAGGAGCTCACAATTTAATAGGAAGGCAGACACGTGTATTCAGTGTAGGGTGATGAGAGCTCACAGGGACAGATAAAAGTTGAGGCATGAGGAAGAAAATGGACCACTCTATGAGGATAGTTCAGTTAAACCTTCTTATGCTGTGTCTTTTTTTTTTAAAAGCAGGATTTATTGAGAGGACAGAAAAGCCCCCACAGTGGGAGGAGACCCAAAGGGGTTGCCCCTATGCTGTGTCTTAGAGGATGAGGTGAAGGGTCTTTCAAAAAGGCTGTACTGTGTGCAAAATCATAGGCATTGTAATTGCCTTTTAAATTGTTTAAAATTCCTTCTTAGACTGTAAGTTATTTGATGGCATGGACTGTGTTTTATTAAAATTGTTATATCCCCAACACCAAGCCTCAATATTTGTCATTCACTAAATAAATATTCATTGAATGAATGAATGAATGAATATATCTATTCTTTATTAGACTGTAAAGGCTCTAGTAATATCAGAAAAAAGCTCTAAATAAAAGAATAAACATTTTTTAGGTCTATTGTGAGTCCAACACTGTTCTTTTATGAATTATTATATTTAATCCTCACAACCCTATAAAGTATATACACATCTATGTAATTATCACCTTTTAGAGTTTAAGAAACAAGCTCAAATGAGTTAAATAACTTGCCCAAAGCTACTTATAATGCCATAATGACATAGCAATGGTAATATACTTTCACACATAAACTCTGGGAAGAACAATGTACATCAGGGAAAGTGACATGAAGTAAATAATTATCTGATTTCAGTAAATTATATATATATATAAATTTATATATTTATTTA